ATTTTCATCTGCCATCTTCCCACTGTACATGTAGCGTGACATCCTGCAGAGTAAGATTTGCTGGAAAGAACTCACAGAAGTCTTGCTCAGATTTCCAGCACGCTATGTTGAATGGTATCTGCAAAACTCAAGAGATACGTGTTTTGCTCCCTCTGCCTCTGTTCAGTGCTACACCAGACACTGACAGCTTCAACAGCTGATTACTGCTTTTTTAGCTAAATTTGTGTCTTTGGTGACACTACCCAGCCTCTTTGTAGGAAAGCTGCGACACAAATGTCTCAATTAAAAAAAAAAAAGAAACAACAAAAAAAACCCCTCCCTTCCAGTTTCTAGAATAGCCAACTGCAGGATATGAGAAATCCACTCACTGACAGAATTTATTTTCTAAAGGAGCATTAATAACTTAAGGATATTATAGGACACAGTCAGAGCAGTCAAATCCAGAGCACCCAAGGACTTCAGAAAGCTCCAGGATGCTCTAGCATGTAGCATCATACTGAAAATAGACCAGTGCCCAGGAAATGACAAGCAGCAGATAAAGTATTTACAATCAGGTTAGTTTGAGATCAAGAACAGGAGTAATTCAGCAACTTTAAAAAAAAAAAAGAAAAAGAAAAAGAAAAAAAGCATGGGAGCAGGCTTGAACAGTATGCAACCTATAAAGCACATTTTTAAGCCACTGGTGGCTGAGGAGCAGTGGGTGTGCTGCCATGATGCAAGAGATAGGAGAGAGTTAAAACTGAGCTGCTCAAGTTGTAGCTCTTCTGTCAGGCCACAAAGGAGTGGGAATGAAACAAAGCTAAAAGAACATAATGGCAATTGTCAAGCTGTCCAGGAACTCCCCCCTCAATAAAAGGGGCAGGGCAGGGACAGGAGATGGGCACTGCTGGGTGTGGGGAGAGCACAAGTAGGAACAGTTGATGGATCAGATGCTTCTTTATACGGTGATTATTAAGTCCCAGTCTGTAATTACTATCTCCCAATATTACTGTAACACTAATAAAGAACACAAAGCTTCTGAAGTCTCAGCTAATCAGCAAAGCCCTCAACAGAGGAGAGAGATACCTAGCAAAAAAAAAAAAATCATAAAGCTTCCTTCTTATCAGGCTCTGTATAGAGGGAAGAAAAACCTCACCTGATGAGATTCAGGAGTACTTCACCCCATCTTTGGTGAGCACGTTGGTGAGCCACCCTCAGCAGCTATCTAGGACAGGATAGGCAGGAAACAGAAATATGTGCACGTACAAGTGCAGCAGCCGATAAGAGAAAGGGAAGAGAATTAGCATTTGGGGAGGAGATGGAAGAAGAAAAACCTGGAAAACAGGAAGCAGGAGAAAGGCAGCAGAGTTCACATCTGCTCATACCTGCCATTTCTACCACAGGGAGGAAAAAAACAGCATAATCCAGAAGGGAACAGCAGAACAAAATAAGGAATGTACTAAGTCAGGACTTCTGAGATGAGTAAATACTGAGCCAGAGTGTCCGTCCTGCAACTGTATAGTCACTCCAAAAGCAGTTGGCTGTTTATACCTACTACCATGCAGACACCTCTCAACCTACAGAATGATCTACTGACAGTCTGGGCTAGGTAGGACAACATCAGCCAGACAATTTTAGACAGCCCAGTTAGTTTAGAGAAAATCCAAATACAAAACCTCAGATTCCTCTCATTTCACCTTATTTATTGTCCTTTTCCTTAAGACTAGAATTAGAGAATGTGTATGGGTTTAAAATAAAATACTCCTGTAAATCAATGCACTTTTTCCTCATAGACAGATTTATGTAACATCCCTCTCTTGGCCTGTACCTCAAGACTAACTTCTTTTCCCTTTTTCATGAAGTACCCAGAATCAGTTTAAGCAACAGCAAGTTCAATGGCATAACACCAGCAGATGTACAAGTTAAGCCAAAACTAAATTTGAAGTGACAACCTTCGTATTATCAATTCTATTTGATTTACTTCCCACCATCAAAAACAATTACCTTTCCTTAAAACCTTTGATCAACAACCCATTTACCCCTGCTAAAGAATCCGGCTGCTAGTTAAAGCTTGGAGAACAGAACTCTAAGATTTTACAGGTATATTTGGTTAACAAAACATTTTTGAAGACACAGTCTAGAAAAAAGGTTAATTCCAGCACGCTGTGGAGCGGATTTATTTATGATTCATTCCCTCTAGTAGGATATGCTTGTTTACAGAGCTTGGACTAGATATGGTAAAGGTTAAAGATTCAATAAAGGCTCCTGTGACTGCTATGACACGATGCCAACCCTTGCACAACATTCGAAAACAAAGATAGTATTCTAAGACAACACACCGCTGAACCCAACAAAAATATCATACAGAACAAGCTGCAAGTGGTTTGGGGCTTTTGGGCTTGTTTTACACGTAGAAGTCTATTTAATAAAAATAATAATGAGGAAGTTGGACTTTAAAAAAGTCCATTCACAACTGTCCGTACAAAATTCCCTTCTCAAAGCTGTAATAGTGCATGCTGGATTTCCCAGCATGTGAGGCCACGCTGGCCCCCCACCCACACAGCTGCAGGGCGAGCAGGGCCCCAGGGGCTGGCATTCTTCAGGTGCTGGGAACTACCGTCTCACCAGTGGCACGTTGGCTCATTTAGCACCCTCAGTAAAACAGTACACCCAGTTCTCCACACACAAACTGAGCAAACCACAGAGTTGCAACATATGCATACAGGAGTACTAAGATTATTTGGTAGAGTCTATGCATGCTGCATTTCTATCCATTTTAGTCCTTTTACTTGAAGTAAGACCAGTAAAAATTAGTACCGCACAGGGACAGGTTGTTAAAAATTGCTGCTGTGAGTGCAAATCTAACTGCAGGACAAGGGGAAATGGTTTTAAGTTGAGGGAGGGGAGATTTAGGTTGGATGTCAGGGGAAATTCTTTACAGAAAGAGTGGTGAGGTGCTGGAACAGGCTGCCCAGAGAGGCTGTGGATGCCCCGTACCTGGAGGTGTTCAAGGCCAGACTGGATGGGGCCCTGGGCAGCCTGGTCTAGTATTAAATGGGGAGGTTGGTGGCCCTGCATGTGGCAGGGGGGTTGGAGATTTATGATTCTTGAGGTCCCTTCCAACCCTGGCCATTCTGTGATACTCACAAATATCTGGAAATTGGCTGTATTTGGTTAAGCGAACTAAGCCATGCACTTTACATGGTGAGCTAACAGAAAAGCTTTGGAGTAACTACTGAGTAGTAGCAGCATCTCCACTGCACACTCATCTCTACAGATAAGAACAAAACACATATACACTGCAAATCCTGCAAGAATGAGACTAAACCTTGATCCAGAAAAAGCAGAGGCAAGAAGCAAACAAAAAACGGGGCTTTCCCAATAGGTGTCACCATGTTTCTATCCATCCAGAGCCAGGAGCTCTGACAGCAGGTGTCAAAGAAGCTCCTGTCCCTGGGCCCTACTCACTGTGGCAGAAGGGTGGAGGGAAAGTGGAGGCCTCCAAGGATGCATGAGAGAGAGTGGAAGTCAGTGCATCACTGCTACCTCTGCAGACATTATGAACACAGACAAACCCACCAAGTCTGACTCTTCCACTGACAGCCCCTCTCACCGATACACCTTTGCGTATTTGTGAGCTCACTAGTAAATCTGTAGCAGTGATGGACAGATTTCCTTCTACTCTTGCTGAAGCTTTAGGAAACTGAGCTTTCCTGCAACACCACAAGCACTGACTTTGGGAGATAAGCAAGGGAACAGGAGAAGACAGAACGTACTGCTCCTCACTGGTACAGAAATGCAAACCTGTTGTGATCCCTGGAAACACAGGCATTTCAGCAGCAATTGAAAACCAAGTGGTGCTCAACAGTCTGCATAACCGTACTGCCACTCTACGGAAATGCGGAGCATGCTGCAGTTAGAGATTTCTTTTCCCACCTGTTCCTTCTCAGCTAGCAAAAGCGTTGCTTGGAGGTGCCACATAGAGAAGCCCAGAAGTCACATCTGTGATTCAGACTTGCAAGAAGGGACACTGGGAATTGCAGCCCTGGCACACATTACTTCCAGCAGCACATCACTGTGCACACAGACAGAAGCAGCTCTCCTCTTTGATGCATAAAACTGAAGCCCACAAGGCTACAGATGTTTGCAGCAGGTGTGTCTAAAGCACTGGCACCTTAAAGCATCATAAAGGCTGGAAAAGATCACTAAGACCATCCTGTCCCAACCATCAGCCCAGCCCCCCATGCCCACTAATCACTTCCCTCACTGCCACACACACGTTTCTGGAACACCTCCAGGGACCGTGACTCCACCACCTGCCTAGGCAGTGCGAGCCGCTGCCTCACAGCTTCTTAGATTAGAAATATCCGAGTAAATAGGGCTGGAGGAGAAATCCAGACCACGTTTGTGATAGCGTTAACAGAACGCACAGTACACACAGATCGCATTTCAGAACAAAAAGAAGAAACGAAGAGTTCCCCCCACGTTCTTCTGCGGCAGGAGGTAACTCAGTGCATCCGAACAGACCCGGGGCTGTCTCTCGCCTCCCAGCTCTCCCCCTCCCACTCCCGTTTCCCACCAGCTGAGGCCCCGCAGCTGCACCAACAACAGCGCGTCTGTGCCCGGGCCGGCCGCGCTGGGCGCCCCTCGGCAGCTCACTGCCAGCCTTATACTTGAACAGAGGTAGCAAACTGGGAAGGGGCTGAAATGACAGTAATGAATATTCATCGCAGTCCTTCACGGAGGGTGCGATCTCATGCGGCGGACCTGAAGGGAATCACCAATCAGGCCGACACAACGGGGCTCGGTTCTGCGTCCTCGGCGCGCGGCAGCACGCAGCCGCCTCCGAGCAGCGCGGGGGTCGCGGGCACGTGCCGTGGCGCTCGCGGGGACGCGAGGCAGCGCAACGCGCAGGCACTCGGCGGGGCGCGCGCACGTGCGCGCCGGCGGCCACGTGCGCGCGGGCACGATCCCGGCCGGCCTGCGGCTCTCGGCCCGTCCCCACTCAGTCCCGCACTCACTTTCGTCCTGCCGTTGATGCGGTAGTTGCCCAGCTTGCCGTTGCAGTGGCGGATGAGATCGTCCATGCTGTTCATGAGCAGGCGGATGGTCTGGCAGCCCGGCTCCTTGCCCTCCACCCAGGTGATCTTGTCGCCGCGGATGTCCTTGGAGGAGTCGCTCTTCTGGCTGACCAGCTGCCCATCGGTGAAGCGGCCGGTGTGATGCAGGGCTCGCACTTCTTGGGCCACCATCCCGCCCAGCTCCTTGCCCAGGAAGTCGTCCACTACGCAGATGCCGTGCTTGTTCATGCAGGGCACGATGTACTCCAGCGCCAGCCGCTGAGGCACTAGCGACTTGGTCTGCCCGTTGGGACGCAGCGCGGCCCCTCCGGGCCCCGCCTGCACGCCGCTCGGGTACAGGTTCGACTTGTCCCGGTACAGCAGCACCGCCTCCGCGGCGGGAGCCGGAGCCGGGGCCGGGGCCGCCGCCTCTCCGCCTCCGGCTGC